TTATCAGGAACAATTTATTAAATAAATACAATTAAATCAAGAGGACAATTTATATTTTATTGAAATACATTAAATAGCATAATACATAAAGTAATGTGCATAGGAGAGCACTACACATATAACTACATGTTTAGCATAAGTGACACGCGTTTATATAGCAGTGCTTTACATAATGTTACACGTAGCATAGACTCTCTCACACAAAGCCTATTGTGACGTAAGATGTTTATTTAGGTCAGATGGGTCCTTTTTATATAATGTGACAATTGATTTATGAGAATGTGTCATTTATGTTGGTAAGTACTGTTATTTATTGGAGTCACAAAACTTAAGTTAATGTAATAATGTAAATTTATTGTTTAAAATTATAAATAGCATGCTAATAGGCTTACAATAATGAACAATTTAATATGATATATATGTGTTACCCTGGTAGGTAGATACGGCGTACACAATGGCCGCCATAATAGAGGGCAAAAATCGTGTCCAATGGGACGACAATAACAGTAATATCCGCGAAGAGATGATGTATTACATTACGGATGGCATGTACGGGTCGTTTAGGTGGACCCATATGGCCAACCGGGTCAGTGATCCCATACCCCTTGACACCCATAAACCCAACGAAACGCTATATAAGACCACTATATGGGGCCCGACGTGCGATTGTAACGACGCCGCCCGAAAGGATGTTATGCTACCGGAGCTGAATATCGGCGATTGGATTTACTTTAAAACAATGGGCGCCTATACCATGAGCACCGGTACCGAGTTTAACGGGTTTAAAGTACCTCGACAATTGTTTTACGTGACTAACAAGGCGCGACGTTTTATAGACAACATGTCTAATAGGGACAAGATTATGGCGGTTTTAGAAACTGGTTTGATCCAGGGTATCCCCGTTTTTACTGGACCCAGTGTTAACGGTACTGTTCCCGCGAATGTGGTAATTGACACTAACACTAATATACCCTTAATTGTGGGAACGGCTATTAACAACACTATTATTGCTAAACAATATTAAATTCTATCTTAACTAAACAATTCAATTAAAACAAATAACATAAGTTTTAAAACTTTTTAATTTGACTAATTAATTTCTTATGAATTATGTGTTATTAATAATTTATTATATTGACTAGTTTATGAATTAAAACAATAAATGATATATTGCTACTATATTGTTTAAAACTTATGATTTAATTTGTGTTAACTTACATTTGTACTGTACTGTATAGTAAAAGGTCTAGTATATTTTATAACAAAATGTCTAACTTATTGCACTATTTATCAGTTCAGTTAAGTAGACTTTATGGGATTTTAGTTTTATCACTAACTTTTATTTGATAGATATTAATTTTTAAAATAAATTTTAGATAATTCAGGGTTAATGTTTTTTGCAATGCATAATAGGATTGTTTTTATAAACTACTTTAAAATTTATAATAATCTATTTTACAATACAATATTTTCAACAATAAACCTACTTTACATTATGGTTAACAACTTTATTATTATTATTTATTAGCAATATTTTTCATATAATAATGATTTGATAATACAAGTGGACCTAAGTACAATACTGTTATATGATACAAATACTTTGATACTTAATTACATAACTTAACAAGTCATAATCGTACAAGTGCATCGAGGTCTGTTTTATATAGAGTTTAGATTTATCAATTTATGGTTTATCATTTATCATTAAGTACTATAAAACTGCAATTGTACATGTGCAAACACACATTCATAAGTATATAAATCAAAGTTAATTCAAAACTTTTCAAAAATACTCTCTAAATGTTTTTAGTGTTAAAAAAATAATCATTATTAAATTCATATGTATAATACAGTTAATTAGTATTGAATTGTGTTCACAATGAAAGTCTTCATTAGTAACATCAAGGAGATTTATTGTTATTATTACAGTCTGTTTAGAAATGACAAAAATTGTTGAAAAATTTAAAACAGATTTTAATAACAATTATACAACTTATTATAAACAAATGGGTATGTTTTTAAAAATTTAGCTTGATAAAATAAAGATTAACTTTAATAAACCTAAAGTCGAGTCAACTATTGAGGACGTGATGCGGTACGTAATTGCTGTCAATTCCAGCACCGGTAGTCTCGATGAGCCTTTCTATGTGCTAGACGTGGAGGATATCATCGAAAAGCACCGCAAACTAGTCGAGTGTATACCGCGTGTACAGCACTACTATGCCGTCAAATGTAATCCCTCGCCATTAGTACTGCAACTACTGGCGGGACTGGGGGTCGGCTTTGATTGCGCCTCGAAGGTATGTCCGTTACAATGAAACCCTGTTATTATAATCAAAGTTTTATTATGTATAACCAGGGTGAGATCGACATGATACTCAACATAGGCGTCCCACCGAACCGTATAATATACGCCAACCCATGTAAACCCGGCTCATATATACTATATGCCGCAAATAAGGGCGTAACACGAATGACGTTTGACACGGAGCATGAACTCTACAAAGTACGTCAACTGCATCCCGGTGCCGAAATGGTGGTACACATTCACGTGGATGAACATTACTCTAAATGCCCCCTGGGCACTAAATTTGGGGCACCTCTACGAAGGGTACGCCATCTATTAGAAGTTGCTAAACAGTTGGGCGTAAACGTGATTGGCTGTAGTTTTCATGTTGGCAGTGGGTGCCAGAGCGGGGAGGCCTACACCAAATCTATAGCTGACGCTAGACTGGTGTTTGACATTGGTCAGAATTTAGGATTTGATATGCGTCTACTTGATATAGGTATTGTTACGAGTTGACGTAGATAATATTTCACTAAACTGTGCTGTAGCCCCTGAAAAGTTTGCACTATTTGTATTACATTTTATAATGGATTTAAACCTTAAGTGTAATACAAATGATACAAACTTTTCAGGGGTTAATATAAACCTAATAGAGTTTAGATTTTTTATTTTATTAACAATTTATTTATTAAATTTAATATACTAGGTGGTGGTTTAATTGGAAAGCCCACTCCTACCGAGGTTAAATTTGTGAACATGGCTCAAACTATTAACAATGCCCTGGATTTACATTTCCCAATCATTGATTCAAATGGACATAAATCTAATATAACTATTATATCCGAACTAGGGCGATATTTTGTATGCTCATTTAAAATTATATAAAGTACAAAATAATTTTTAAAATATTTCATATATCACCTTGGTAGGTGGACTCTGCATTCACATTAGCTACGACTATAATCGGGAAAAAGTGTGTGGAGTGGGAGGACAGTCGTCCCCCGGAAATGATGTACTATTTAAACGATGGTCTGTACGGCTCGTTCACGTGCACCCGACTCGACCACGTGGTCACTGAACCCATACCCTTGGATATGGGCTTTAATACGCCTATAGCTAACCGTCCCATATATATCACTACACTATGGGGGCCGACATGTGATAGTCATGATTGGGTCAAAAAGGATGTCATATTCCCGGACATGCATATCGGAGAGTGGGTATACTTTAAGAATATGGGCGCCTATACCCTGAGCACCAGTACCGAGTTTAACGGTTTTAAAGTGCCCAGGCTGCTGTATCATTTGTCTGGACGGGCACGACATATGTTGCGGTTATTGCCTAATATGGCGAAGGTTATGGAGATTATGGGAACCGATACTATTAGTACTATTTCCACATTGAATAGTATGGCAGTAGACAAGACATAGTGGGTATCATTAAATATTTAACCTAGTTCATTTTAGATATATTCAAGTTTTAAACCACGTGTTTGATTACAATAATAAATGTAGTTACAAATATTAAAATTTTTTAACTTTAGTATATTTTTTACATTTGTTATTAAAAATTATAACTTTTTATAATGTTTGTTTTTATTATTTACAATTGTGCTTTAGATATAACTTAAAATGCTAATTAATAAAAATGTTATCTTTTTATCATAATGGGATGCTTGTTAAAAATTTTGTATACTTTGCCAATACTTGCCATACCAATTCACTATAACTTAGTTTTAGTAGTAAACATCTGTGCTTGCTTATATAGAAATTAATGAAATAAATTATAACATTATAGTTAAGGCACTGCCAGTACAAAAAATATTTACAATTTATAACATATTGTCAAAAATATGTTAAACAAACAAATCGATAATCATAATTGCATTCTGCGAATATTGAAGTATGTCCATTAATATTGTATAGCCGTTACAAATGGTCCCTGGTGCTAAGATATTGAAAAAGAAAATCACAAAATGCATAATTGACAAATAATACTCATTATTTTGCGACCCTTTAATATAAAATTTGGATAAACATATATCAACAAGCATGTTTTTGCTAAAATGCATTTACTGTATGTAAAATTCTTATAATGAATAAGCACAATCATTTCATGGAAATTTATTATAAATGTTTAATATGAATTTTATATACAGTAAATGTTATTTAGCAAAAACATGCTTTTTGATACATGTTGAGACATATACAGTAGTGGTGACTGTGTACGTGCAAGCAACAAATGTATGAAATATAAGTTTGCATTGAAATAGTGTTCACATTTTATCTCTCATACAGTGAACCGTCTAAAAAACAAATACAATTCTATGTATTGAAAGGTTTGTTAATTATTCAAGCAAATAATCTTTTATATTTAATAATTGTCCATTGATAATATAAAAAGTACTTTTTGTCTATATTAAAGCAGAAGATTTTTAATACTCGTGCTAATAGTAATCCAATGCATGAACTCTGCTTACAATGAGGTTTTTCAAATAGTTCAAAAGATCTAATCATATTATTAGGCCTCAATTATTGATTATTTTATTTGAACCCTATATTAACACAAATAATTATACATTTATTTATAAAATATCACTTAATGCATCAGAATATTGAATTTTAGTAAACGTGCACCCATATACACAAAACTAAGCTAGTATATTTGTATAATTCTGGATGATATCATAGAATGTGTTAGTGGTTATAAAAAAGGTGAAAGTTTCGTTTAAACCAGTTATTTAATTTATTGTAATGAATATTGCCAGAGCTCAAGGTCTTTTTAATAGAAAGTATATTGCAAAATGAATTATGATATTTAGAAACCGCTATCAAATGGTGTCCGCAGTTTATACTTCATTACTGTATTTTCCATTAGATAATAATATTATTTATGGCAAATTATCTAAATTTTATATGAATTTTATGATATTTTAGATAAAATATTTGATTATAAAAGGATCGAATCTCTGAGACTCATGTCTCACTTGTTATGAACAAAAGATTATTAATATTATGAATAAGATTTGTCTATAACCTCAATATTACAGACTATTTACTGAACACAACGCAATTTTACTAATATTTCTACATTTATTGCCAAAAATTGCTAAAATCATGACTACTTTGGAGCAAAAAAGACAACAATTAATGCAATTCAGTGGTGCGATGGCCGCCCCCTTCACCCCCTTCGACGACAAGGGGTATAAAAGCTATGAAACTAATCATCAAATAAATACTGTATTTATATGACTGTTATGTATATCACCAGAGAAGTGGATGTCTCGCAGATTCCCGCATATCTCGCGTATTTGGTGGACATCCGGGTGGACGGCCTATACATCTGCGGCACCACCGGTGAGGGCTATAGTCTGACTCACGACGAGAAGGTGGCTATCGTGAAGGCCTGGCGTCAAGCCATAGACACCCAGAAGGCCGACCATCTGTTGGCTGTGGTGAACGTGTCGTCCACTTGTCTTAAAGAGTCGCTTCTCCTATCAAAACACGTGGAAAGTCATGGTTTCGATGCGATCGCCGTTTTGCCGCCGATTTATCACAAACCGACGACTGTTGACGAGTGGGTTAACTATATGAAGGCGTTTGGTAGGGCGGCGTCCACTATACCCCTCT